AGAACAATTCAATCGAAGTGTCGCGAGACTTTCCTTCCAACCTAATAATTGCTCCCGAGGGGATTGTATTTAGACATTTGAAGGGAGATTGACCGTATTTGACCTGGGAGGGATTTTCTATTGTTTAGTTTTCCCGCTTCCCGCTTTACGCCCCTCCCGAAATTTCGGAAAAGCTTGGTAAGGTGATCGGTCGGTTGCGGAAGGGGGTTGCAGTTGAACCGTAGTTGGAGATTCGTAGAGGGGGGGGGGGGTGTTGTGAGGAATTCTTCACGCCAGGATGTGCCCGCATTGGACAGCAAGGTTACCCGAAAAAAGGGTTGTGAGTCCAAAGTCAATTGCTACTTTCACTACGGGTTAAAGAATTTACACTGGAGCGATGTAAGACGGAGTCGGGACTCAATGTTGCTAATCCGTCTAGCCAACAGTGGCGCCTTTCTCCTCTGCACCACCTCAACGCCAACAAAAAATCATCATACAAGTTCCAGCACTTTCGCCAAATCACTGTTATCCAGGGTTCCCAAATATAAACATCACGATTACAAATTCGGCGCTGTTCAGAGGGGGGAGGGGGCATGTTGCTAGCACCCATCGATTACTGCCAATACCTCCTATGGAGACGTGTAAATTCGTGTAAAGCTATGCAACAGCAGGAGCGCAGGAGTCGTTCCCATTTGACAAGAGTCTGGAGGTCGAAATTAGCGGGTGTGCAACATGCTCCTCCCTAAGCCTAATAGCGCCCAATTGTTTTTGTGAGTTTTGATCCTGATTCTCAAGAGACCGACTTAGCGGGATGCAGTGCGCATTCTTCCCGCTAGGACCCAAACTAGTCAACGTGGCAGCCGTGGTGTGTCGACTCTCACTGTCTCTGTGTATCTTACGTCAACTAGCGAGGAAATGCATGCTGTGACTCAGAAAAATCGCGCCTCCCCCTTCCTCCCTCTCTCTCCCCTCCCAAATACAAGCAAGCTTCTTGACCCAAATCACCTGACTCAACCCCCATCCTTTCTCCTTGCCATCCTTACTCCCGAAAACTTCTGTATAACTGTGCTGTATGTGGTGCAGCAATGTGGAGAGCTGAATCGTTGTGGATCTCCGCCCATCCTTTAATCGCGAACCAACTATCCAATAGTTGGTCCGCGATCCCAATACGTGCGGTTACATGGTGTAGAGTCTTAACTCACTCACACAAATGGTGGCACTTTTGAGCTACTGCTTGTTTATGTAGGAGCAATGGGAAATCAATACAACCGCGACGCGAACGCTAGCTCTCCTGTTACGTGTAGCGGACAACATTTTGATTTCAGCGATGGGTTCTAGTTCTATCAATTGGTAAGCAGATAAATACTATACTATACTAAAAGATGATGTATTTGAAGGATGACTCCTTCATTGTTGAGAAGTCCCATGTTTTCCAAGATAATTGTACAGACTTTATACATAATCGAACAAATCGAGATCGACAATGGCAATAATACTACAGAAGGAGAAGAAGAAAAAGGCACAAGACGAACCTATTGTCATGCTTCTTTCAAAATACGGTATAAATAATCTCAACGTATGAACTACGAGGCACAAGTCGATTCCAGATTAACTTATCCACAAGCGAAAATACGACGAAATGGGAAGAACAACGGCATTTGCGCTTGTCCGAACTCATTTAGTACCCACAACTTCCAAGTACGCACTGGGGTGTTATTCACGTTCATGACGAATCCAGAAGTGCCACAGGTCACGGTTCAATTTTTTAGAATATGGCTCGCCTGCTTCTTCAGAAACTCCTCTGTCGTGTCAGATGGGATAACCTTGACTCTGTCTGCTGAAGAGCTGTTATACCCAGATTGCAGCACGGGTTCGGGGCAATGATCGCAGAAGACACTTGCGCCTGGTGGTCCAGGTGGTCCCATGGCTCCTGGAGCACCCGCTTTACCCGGAGCTCCATCTAGACCAGGAGTGCCAAGTAGATATCCAGGTGGACCTTTTAAGCCTGGTGCTCCTGGAGTACCTGGTGCACCTGGGAATCCTGGTGCGCCGGGTGGACCTGGTGGACCGGGATCTCCCACAATTATGTTTTCTTGGGCGTATCCCAGGTTGCCCGGGACGCCTTTGGCTCCAGGAGCTCCCGTAAGACCTGGTAATCCTGAAATCGAAAAAAATTTAATAACGTCTTTCTTACTCTAAGTATTGTCAGAGTACCTGGTTCTCCTGGTGGGCCCGGCAAACCAACTGGAGAATATCCGTGCTCTCCAGGAGAGCCTGGCTGTCCCGGACGTCCTTTGGGTCCTGGTGGCCCTGGTGGTCCTTGCTGGGCTTTCATACAAATCCAACATGGCTCTCGTTGGTTTTCATTAATTCCTCAAAGAATAACGTTACCCAGAACTTTTTTCGAATTTATCGATTAACCCTACCGTCTTTTCCTGGGATTCCAGGAGCACCATTAGTGCCGTCGATACCGTCCAAGCCATCGGCTCCTGGTCTACCTGGTAGCCCGGGAGGACCGTATTGTTTCGCGCATCCTAAATCCACGTTGGGCCAGACTAAAATCACACTAGAGAGCGATCACTGTTTTTTTTTCGAAAGGCCCCAAAAATTTTACCGTAGGCATTTTTTACTCCGTGGGTAGCGCTTCCAGGGTTGCTAGCACGCTTTTCTCTTGTTGACGGCGACACATTGAGCTGAAAATCAATAACTTGTTCTAAATTATGGAAATCAATTTCCTTTCTTTATTAGAACCCACCAAACTGCGGTTAATTGCATTAATTTTGGGAACACATTCCGCGATGATTGGGTAGGTGGAGTAAAGGGTGGGGACCCACAAACACGTTGTCCCCCGTCAGTGCGCTCCTCCTACTCACACGATGGAGAAGAGAAGCATGCCACTGAGTAAAGCACTACGACTGTGAGTCTCCACCCATCAGGCTATCGTGGAATGTACCATTAACACAGGAGCCACAGACACTGAATTTTTTCTCCTCACCGAACGAGGAGCCAGAAAATTCTTGGCAGGACTCCGTTTACAAGTCGATCAACGGTAATCCGGCCACAGCCCCCCTTCCCCGGCGCTGTTTTGATGTTTTTGAAGGCAGCGAAACGTACCTCATGCAGAAATTGCCAGGTGGTGGTGCCGGACGAATAGCAGGGCTCGAAGATGCGATCAGAATTGATCTGAATAAAAAGAAGTTGCTAGTGAGCTTGAAAATGTCCCCGTAAACGCTACCTGAGCTCGTAAAGCGGAATGGATGAGCATAGGTATCATGACGCCAAGAAGAACGACGGTTGACATGGCGATTGACGCCGAGACGAAGGCTAACCGTCGAAGGCTCGTGGCCACCGCTTCACGATCAGATCGCATCTGAACTGCTGGAAGCTTTGAAGTTTGGGGTAGGGTAGGGCGAATCGAAATCGCTACGAAAAGAAACGAAGAAAACGAGAAAAACGAGAAAAGCGAAGTCTTGAGGGCTGTAATGGTTTCTATTGACCAATGTTGAGCTCTTATAAGCAGATGAAAAATAAGCCCAAGAAAAATGTTGAAGAAGTTGCTATCCAGAAGGGACATTCCACGATAATCGGGTGAGCGGATAGAGGAAAACCCATGGTTTATCAGGAAATTTGTAGCACTACTAACTGTAAGCTGCCCTTGAAATGATGACCTTGACAGGAACTGTTTATGAGAGCTCACGCAATGCGTTCGACGGCTAACTTCCAGTTCGTGCACTGATCTCTCCAAGATGCAGTTGGTAACACGCCATCCAGAGAGGGCTGCCCACGGACAGCTCTCAGCTCCTCAGCACTCGAATATCTGCGGAATCAAGGAGAGAAGTAAGATGAGTATTAATTCTGTGGTTCTTGGGAGTGCATAACTCTACAAAATGCCGAATTGCCCACTACACTGTGCCACAGAACGTGGTTGCCGTCGCATCAGCTGAAGGCGGGTTGTACACAGACTCATGAAGCCGAGCGGCTCGTTCCATTGACAAAGAGGGGGGCAACTATGGCAGCGAAGAGCTGACTTCAGAAAGAGTGAAGGAGAGTGTTGGATCGAAATGGAAACTGGTGAAAGCGCATTTGGCAGTGTCGGATTCATCAGTTTTTTTTTCGATTGATCACGAATCAACCAGGAACTTGTTGCCTTTGAGCTCATCCTTACACCGCAGTATGTACACATGTGATGGGGTAAAGCTTGCAAAGAACGCATTGAAGTGAAAATTCAGTTCATGACACTCACAAAAAATGGCAAGTATGAAGGGCGCTTGAACGCCTGGGAGGGGAATTTGCAGCTTCGGTGGTTCCTATTTTTCTAGTTCAATTTAGACACAGAGGTATGTTGTGAGACTACGAGTCGTGTCCAGTTGGACGGATTGGCAAAATGAGTAACTCATATACAAGAGCTCCGAGCGGAGCTGTAGAGCTTTGATGACTTACGGCTTTGTTGCTCGCCCTCCTTCTCAGGAATTCAGGGCCCAGCGCGCTGAGGGAAGTACCTCGCCGTTCATCAGTCTGCTGGAACGCGGCCAGTATTCTTTGCTACTCGGGATTAGTGGCTTGATTTAACGCCATTGCGTACGCCTGCACCATTGCAGAACGATCGTTTGCATCTGTGATGGCCGCGTGCTACACACTGAATGGCAGGCAGCTCTGCGTTCAACTATTTAGTATTGTTGAATAACTCAAATTGTCAGTATATTTGTGAAGTCTTCCTGAAAAAAATATATTTGTGGGAAATTGCGGGAGCAAACTAGAGCTAAGTTGTCGAATTTTTTTGAGAAATTCTTCAGCTGCTACTTATACCCTCTGTTTATTTCTTATATCCAGTCAAGCCGAAACTCTGGCTGTGACTCCACTAAAAATTAGCGAACCAGTAAATTTGAACGAGGGATGCCGATTTTATATACATTACTACGAGTCCCTTTTTAACCCTTGCCTGGAATTTATTAACCCTTTTTGCAACTTTCGCATGTTTTTAGCTCATCACTTTTAACACGTGATAATATCCAATTTCACATCATGTCATGCGTACACGAGTAATGTATAGCACGAAGTATAATGCAATATTTTTTTGTGCATATGTGTAGAAAAAAATCAACTGTTTATAGTCTCGGCGCGTTCTCGTTTGTCGGCGGCGCGCCGCGAGTCGCGTCGACAAGAACGCGTAGGCGACAGGCGCCCGTTTTCGCGAAAACGTCGCGGTACGCAATGGGTTAAAGACTATATGACGACTCACAGGGGCTAGCTGTAAAAGCCACTGACGCATCTAGACGAATCTGGCTCTATCAAATTACCGTTCGATATAAAGGTAGGCTTGGTTGCCTGAAGGGCGAGAGCTGAGAACGCGAACGATCTTGACCCCTGGACGGCGGGCGACTGTAACGGGATCCTTCGCCACTACATCATATTCGCTATGAAAGTAGGAGAACTGACTGTTTTTCACCTGAATAGCTGACGCTTCATGGGGGTGCTATTTATGAACAGATGAACAATATTCTCTTGCATCTTTCTGTCTCCATCAATTTACCCAACCATCTTTTCGTAGAATTTGAGGAGCATCAATCAGGGCACGTCGTACCGAAGCGAAAAACGTGTAAACTCCCGCTTAAAAGTTTCCTTCTCCGGCGGCCTCGCCCTCTTCCCCCTTCCCCTTCTACTTCTACTTTACTTTACCATTTCCGAGGAGTTTCCCCCGGGGAAAGAAACATTCACCTTTAAGGCTTATGACTACCTCTCCTTCCAGCAACCAAATATGCCCCCTCCCCTAACTGGGGATCCTGAAATTACGACGAGTCTTGGTACAATAGTATTGTCAGCACCATCAATATCATCAACTCATGGTATCCGAATAGCCCGAGAAGAGCGCACTGCTTCACGTCCTATTTCCTAGTCGACTACTGCCTAGCCCGAGAAGAGCGCACTGCTTCACGTCCTATTTCCTAGTCGGACTAGGCCTAAGTGAGACGGTAGAGGAACCAGTGATCCTTCAGACTGCACTGGAAACCTCAGCGTAGCTACTTTGATCCACTTCTTCATTGGGTGGGTGCTAGCAATAAGTGAGGGTATTTTGGGCGCGTATAAGCCGCCGAGAGAAGTTCAAACTGCCTACTTTCATTGGCAGTAGCCGTGCATTCCATCGGATCAAAATTCGTCGACTTCTAGTGAAAAGCCACGAAAGCAGATGGTTCTCGCTGTGCTTGGCTCCTATACTCCCCATTCACAACAAAACCACATATTTCATTACGACTGAATCTCCGGAAATTTCATCGAAATTATCATCTGTTCTTGTTTTCAGAGGAAACCTGTCTGTACGCGTAGTGCAGTCACACCACAAAACCAGAAGTTCTACTAATTGATAGATTTTCTGCCAGCAAACTTGAGCTTATCAATTAATGCCAGGAATCCGTGGGCGAATGGTTTCAAAAGGCATGAAAAACTAGGAGCGCATCCGGAATCCTTGGCTGTGCGTTTCATCCCTGAAAGGAAGGAAGAAGAAAAAGACCAATAGAACTGAAAAAAGCCACAGGAGAAGAATTTGGAGCTACATAGTTCCGGAGTGTACTACTACCGATTTAAATTCCCGACACTTACAGAACTGTATTTCGCTAATCGCTTATTTTTATGGAACCCCACCTGGGGGGACCAAAGGAGCAGATTTTCGCAGCAACACTTCTACATTGATCTCCTTGACAGCTACGACCACCTGGATCGCACTGCTTGGAACAGGATGGGTACGGAGTTCCTTCAGTTCTCCTTTCCGAAGTCCGACACGCCATCTCGTCGGTGAAGAATCGTACGGCACCCGGTACAGATCAGACCCGAACATCTGAAGAATCTTCCGCCAGTTCTCGTCAAAACTCTGGCTCGACTCTTCACGCGCTACCTGTCGGAATGCAAGGTACCCACCTCGTGGAAAACCAGCAAGACTGTGTTGCTGTACAAGAAGGGAGACCTGTACGACATTGGCAATTATCGCCCAATCTGCCTGCTGTCTGTAGTCTACAAACTCTTCACACGAGTCATCCTGAACAGGATTGGCAGAACACTAGACGAAGGACAGCCATGCGAGCAAGCTGGTTCCGGTTCATCGACTTGAAGAAAGCCTTCGACTCCGTTGAGACAGAAGCGGTTATCGAAGCCCTGGGCAACCAGGGTATTCCTACTCAGAATTCTTCGTTAGCTCCAGAGCAGAGGAGTCTGACAGGGCGACACCATCTCGCCGAAGCTCTTCAGCGCCTCTCTCGAGAACGTCACACTTCAACTGGAATGGGAAGACATGGGAGTGAAGATCGACGGTCTACAACTACACCATCTCCGCTTTGCTGACGACATCGTTTTGATAACACCAAACATCGAGCAAGCGGTAACGAATGTGTCTAAGTTCGACCTGTAGAAAAGTCGGTTCGCAGTTGGATGTGACGAAGGTGTTCATGAAGAACGAACTGGTTTTTGTGAATCAAGGATCGAAGATGAGGCGATGAAGATCAGGGACGCGGCCACAATTACTAAGGTTTCGAAGATCAGGTGGGCCGGACACGTCATGCGTTTCGAGGACGACCGCTGGACCAGAGCGATCACCGACTGGATTCCACGGGATGTCAAGCGAACGCCTGGACGACCGCCTACGCGATGGTCAGACTTCTTCCTTCAGAGCGCTGAACGTACGGCATGCTCTTGATTACCTGGTTGAACGGGGGAAGAGAAGGAGATTGCGCATCAATTGTGGTGGTAATGGAGGACATATATCATCACAAGATGCCGAGTCACCCAGCATCCTGAGCGACAAGCGCCATGAGAGGATGTCCGCGGACACACCCCTCACTTTTTCTGGTGAGGACATGGAAGCAGGTGGAGGCAACAGGATGAGAGGTCGGTGGAGATGGGAGGAGAGGACTATACCGAGAGCCAAATTCTATTGAATGGCCGGAAAGTATCAAGCTAAGCACAAAAGGGGGAGGCACGGAAGGTAAGATTGGAATCTTATCATGTGCTATAAGAAAAGCCCTATATTTGCAATTCTCCTATGATTTTAAGGAGAAGCCGAGCGCGTGACTCATTCAAAAGGTCTGGGTCAACTTTGGGCGCCTTGCGCTTGCTCATCTCGATAAAGGAGCTGTGTATAAGCTTATCAGAGTTGAGAAGTATTAGCATCCCCTTGAACTTTAAGCACCCCACTTGATCACCAAAAACATGATAAATGAGGGCGTTTATCTTCCGCAGGACGACTGACTCATGTTGTTCGCGCCGATGAGATTGCATCACCATTCTGCCCATGCTGAAGCGGCGTCAGCGCTCGCTTCGAATACGAAACACCCAGGCGATCGCTTACAAAAGCGAAGTTTCCGCGCTAATGGGTGTGGTCCGGAG